ACGGCCCTGGTCGGTGCACTTGCAGCCAGCCGATTTTAATCTCCACCTCTGCGCACGCGCAGTGGCGCGGTCGGCTACCGGATACCAAACCGGGACCGGTTCTCCGGTTTGCTGCAACTCTCCATTATATACCAGCGATGCACATGATTCATAGGTGAAAATAAGACAATAGACACTTTCAAAATGGCCGCCGTTGTCGCCAAAAACCCCCCCCCGAAATTTTTTTCTGGGTACAGCCCTGTGAGACACCCTGTCAAATGCTTTTGAGAAGTCTAGGAATATACAATGGTGAAACTGACAAGAGGTGATTTGGAGCAGCTCTTGTAACAGGAAAAAATCGGTTTTGGAGCAGACAATTTTGAGCTTTCATGTCAGAAAGTTTTATACAATCTCTTCGAAAGTTAGCCCATAGAAAAGACTGTAGCTGTTGGAGCATTGGGAGACTGAAGTGTTATGCCCACAGAGGACCTGGCCTGTACAGATATTTATTTATTTATTTATTGAACAGTCATACGCCAGCAATTTTGTAGAAGTCTCAATTAACCTATTATTAGTACCGATGGCATCTTCAGTCTGTGTTTAACGTAAAAAGATATTTTCGGCTACTTTGTAGCGGGTTTTATTACAGTGACGTAATTGTCACAAATTTAACATCAAACGGACACTTATGGTTGAAAGTGCCTCACATTGCCCTCCCTCGTATTCAACTTGCTGCTGTTCATAGAACAGCTAAGCGGAGCACATAGCTACTCTAACCGATCACGAGTAGCGGTAGCTATTCATTGCGATCGATGTGAGCACCGTTCGCAAAAAAAAAGAAAAAGACGACAACTCTTCATTTGGCATGAGCAAAAATAGATGTTGGGTTTCAAGCAAATTCAAAGTGAATAGTAATAGTTCTTTCGGTCGAATATTTTTTAATTGAATATTGAAGACTTTTTGCACCTTTCTCCATGCCTTTTACTACTGTTCCACCATGCTTAAGGGGGGACATGGCCTGGGAGGGTCAACTTTTGAACCATTGTCTCAAAGTGATTCAAACTTTCAGGGTGAATTGAACCCAATTAGGATTGATGACATCTAAAGTTTCAGCCTTATAGGCCAATTCTACCGCATACTATGCTTAGCAAGCTCCAGAAAAAAGTTACTTTATTAGGAAATGTATTTAAGAAAAATAATAATTGAAATCCACAAAATGTTTAGTTTAATGTGAAGTAGAATACCCATAGTGCAAGTTAAGGTAAAAATTAACTGTAGAAAATGTGATTCTAGAGAAAAACAATAACACCCAAAAAGAGCGAACGATTTTAACAAATTTGCGAGTTTTAAAATATTCAGTTTTTGTCATGAAGAATTTAGCATTTTCAGATTATGAGTACCTTAACTTGTTCCTCAGGAAATTTGAGTCAAGGACAACACTGAATGAAATCTTTACACTTTCAAAATGTCCAATGATACATTTCCTCATACCACATTTCCTGCCAAAAAGTGAAACTGAGAAAAATGCATTTGAAGTTTCAACTTTAGGTTTCTTTATTTTTTATGAGTCCGAGGTAGGCAAAATTCACCTGGAGCGTCGTTAGCACCTTCGTCTTTGAGCATCTGTTGTTCCCCTGGCAATAGCTACCAGTTTGTGTTGTTTGTAGGCATGCTAACTTTTGTAGCAGGCATTCCCTGACAGATAAGCTGACAGGAACTAAGAGGCAAATCACACTGAGAAAGAGCAGCAAAGCAGGAATAGGATCTGAAGTGGAAGGTACTGTAAAGGGGCGTTAATGAAGACGACAAAATATGATGTCACCGGGAGGGACCAACCGTAAACCCTGTTTCAGGTGTCAACCAATAAAATTGCTCATACCAAATTTTCAGGATTTTTTCTTTTTGGATGTATTGGGTCCTCCTGGCCCTTGATACTTGTAAACTTCGAAAGCTTCTACGAGCTAGATCTAGAGTAAATGGCACTTCCAATGAGGGTGAGATGTTCTGGCTAGGTTAAACGAGTATGAAGCAGTGCTAAATAAAAAACACAAAAAACTTGCTTCCTGCTGACTTGGAGGGCTGCCGACATGTCGAAAATAATTTATTCTGAGATAAATCCTGCATGTTTTTAAATGAAAGTTTCTGAAACCATTCTTTGGAAGTTAATAAGCATAAACATATCATTTTTGAAAAAAACGTTTTTTTCTGAAAATTTTGAATTCCGAGGCCATGTCCCCCCTTAAACAAAAATTCAGCTGGACTCACGAAGGTTGTTCCTAATTGCCCACTTATGAGTAGTTAAATTTAATCTAGCTATATTTATAGACTGTAGCCTCAGAACGTCCAGTACCTACAGTGGGATGGCAAGTAAATGACAAATTTGACATAAAATTAAGCCTATAAAGGAGCCTAGCCATACATAATAGAGGGGATTTTAAAAATTTTGTGCCTATATAAAAATATTTTTGTTGATTCTGAATTTAAAAAAAGCACAAACAATAAACAGAGGTTTTTTGAACATTGCTGCCTACAGCCTGTTGTAACTCAAGAAGGTAGGGTGAGGGTAAGACGGGCCAGGAAAGAGGAAGCAGATGGAATGCTGGAGAAGAGAGGGGGAAATCTCTCTTAAGTGTTCCGTCTGCTTCCTCTGCCCCGGCCCGTCTTACCTTCACCCTACCTCCTTGACTTGCAACGGACTCTAACATATACCCTTGAATAATAGTCACAGTTAAATTTTGAAGATTTTACTGCAATGTAATAATAACGATCCCAAAAGTTTTATGTTTTTTTGTTTTGTTTTTTTCTTTTAATATACATTAGGCCTGCGCGTGCACCATACTAGTTTGAAGATGTGCTTTTCGCATAAGCGCGCGAATGAGCTGCGGCGAAGCGGGTAGCGAGATCACTGTGTCAGCTTCATCGGTATTGCTTCTCCGCAGTGCAACTGTGTTTGAGGAGAAGCGCACTCAAGGGGGCTAACCCACCGCAATCAACACTTCGAAATGTATGAATATTGCAGTTAATTTTTTAAGCGAATATCACCATATTATTTCGAACTACTATTAGAAAATTAAAATATTCGCTTAGCTCTATTCTTCGCACATACTACTTAGGCATCAAGAAAAAAAAAACTACTTTCTTAACTTTCAGTGGCATCGCTTGTCCCGTGCCAGACACTTTCAGTTTCCTTTTCGAGAACTGCTCCCTTTCGGCGCAGACATGACGCAAATTGCGCGCAAATACAGCCTTTAGAGCAGCATGTAGCAGGCTATTCATTCTGGCACAGTTTGGCGCAATTAGCGCAGCAGTTTTACCACTGAATATAGCAACGGTTTGTTGTTTACGTTGCAAATTTAATTGAATGTCATGTATAAATCACAAAAGTTGTATTTTGCATGATAATGTCTTTCTAAATCTGTGCTTATTTTTGTTTAGGAGCATATTAGGCTCAGTGTATCTAATGATGTTTGAAGATATCATGCTGAGTGATATAGAACAATAGTGAGGTGAATTTCTATCTCCGAACCTATGTACCTACTTTTTGTATAACATGTATTAAGTTATGTTAATCGTTTAGTTAACGCGTTTTCTGTATACATTTATTACCCTGATTGTTTTTCCTGCATCTCCGTCACCATCTGCCAAGCTCTCGGGGCCCGGACCTAGTAAGCCAACAAAGATTGGCTTTTTTGTCCGTGGTTTCGACATCTGTACTTGCAGATGCAATAAATGATTTGATTTAATGTACAGGGATTACATGGCTGATTTTTAAAAAGGCCCTGCAAGGACTTTTGTACTGGTTTTTAATTTGCACCGAACCTGAGTGCACTGAATGTCGTATCTTAATGAAACTGTTCTTTTCACGAATTTTACTTTATTTTAAAAGATATAGGCAAATTAAAAATACAAAAACAAGCACAAAAACCCTCTTTCATGACGTCCTCGTCGCTTGAGTGGTCGTGAACTAGAGCAGGATTAGTGAGCTCAACAAGCACACACGGCTGCCGCACTCCGTGTCGATGGCTCGAGAGGGCGCCACTAAAGCATGTTCCGGCTAGGCTGTATGAAGCGGGCGGCCAGGGTGGCTCGCACTGCACTTGCTGCACGATTAAACACTGATTCGGCATGACACTTCATTGGCCACCAACGATAGCAAACACGAGTTAAAAATCAGTTCAGAAAGGCAGCCACTTCGCGCTACCATACCACCAAACGGCCAAATCGCAAGCCAAATCTGCTCGCCAAAGGCCTTCGAAACGCTCGGAACCAGTCGGATCCTCGAACCGTATACGACCGCAGCGCCGCCACGTACATCGGAGACCTTTCTACACTCGCCGCTCATCGGTGCCTGACCCCACTACCCCTCTAGTATGCGCCGCCTTTTCCACCGATTGGTGGTGGATATGTCGACGAGTCATTTCTTGTTTCCGTCTTTATAAACTGCATTTGTTTATTTTCTGATCTAAAATACTGAACAAAAAGTACTTTCATAAATATCTGAAACGGTTCGCGCCACTTATTATTTGTATTTCGACTAAAAAGAAGCTTTTAGCGGGTCTGACAAGTAGACTACACAAATTGCGCGCTTTCGGCACCGCAGGTCGCCCCCGTAGGTGGAGGAGGTTTCCACATCGTCCGGTTAAAATATAACGCACTGGTATTTAGTTACTCTCTCCGTGCCCGCTGCCTTGCCCGAACCCCAATAGATTTGGAAACCGCAAAGAAGGTAGACGCTTAAATATGATTGCAGGGCCCCTTTAAGTCAAGAGGTATGCTACCAGAGGAGTGATTCTCGATAGATGTCAGTTAGAACCAGAAATTCTATATGGCTTGGTGTTTTCCATGACTGCAATTTTATGTGGTTGCCACCAGAACTTGTGGAAAGTTCCAGATCTTCAATGGCTAAGGATGTATATCTAACAATTATATTCTGCAGATATTAAACAGGGAATTGCCATTATTACACAAATAATTACAATGCTCCAAGAAGTAATTCCACTAAAGAATAAAACTGAACATACCAACAGCCTCCTGTCAGCAGCTTCCATGAGTCTTGGTAGTTTCAAACTGCAACATGTCCTCTAGAAGTGGAGCATAAATGGCTCTGGTCTGTGCCTGGTCTGGTGCTCTAGCTGTCTGAGGGCCATGAGTCCACAGTCACTTGAGCCTTGGTTTCACCCCTCTATTCTTCTACACGGGCCACAAGCTGTAGTACCAGGCTTGCAGTAGAAAAGAAACTGAAGGTGTTAAAGATGCACTGCTGAAAAGACAAGGCACAAAAAAAAAACATTAACTACTTAGCTTGAAAGGTGCTAAAAAAGAAAATCATACAGATTTAATTAGAACAAAACTTTGAAGATTCATCTCAACCACCCAGGTATTGTGAACCTAGACTGATCTTGCAGCACAATAAGCCTCAGTCAAATTGCAGGAACCTCAGTCTGGTTTACAACCTAATAACTCGGCATCTTGCCTCAAAGCCAACTTTCAATTAACAGCTAATACATTAAACTCTGAAGATACAGCACCAATAAGAGATGAGCATGGTCATGACAGCCTGCTTGACTTACAGTGTCAAGTTAAGGGTTAATCAATGAAACTATTCTATGCCCTTGAAAACTGTGGTCGAGACAAACGTTACAACCAAAAAGATACTTCAAGTAGCTGTCAGCATGCGCTGTACAAGCAGAAGTGTCAAGGGAAGGTTGAAAGGGCCACAGGAAAGCACTGGCTTCCCAAACCTTAGATCCGCCACCCGAAAAACACCCTACTTTCACAGGGAGGAGGGAGCTAGCCTTGTGGCTACAATTTCAGCTATCTGCTCACGTGATAGGGACAGTATACCCAACCTCAACATCAGATTGGACATAGACTGAAGGTTCAGTTGACCGACTGCTTACAAAGCAAATTGCACGGACCAGAGGAGCCTGCTTTAGTATGTTGGTCAGCGACTGTGTGCTGAAAAATTAACAAATAGGGAAGAGTCATGCTAATGCAGTGCTTATATCTGTAGTGAGTTTGAAAGAAAAAGATTATGCACGTAAAATGCTTTCAACAGGCTTGTGAATGTGCATTAAAAATTTGCATAAAGATGTTGGCCTGAACTAGGTTTCGGTCGGTGCTGCTTCAATTGCTCACAACTGATCTCATTCCAGGGGTAGTGATTAACAGAAATAAAACAGGCACAAAGGCTGTTTCACACACTTGCGACTGCTTCTGGCTGGAGAGGTTAAAAGACTGGCTTTAAACCTCTATAAATGCTTATGACTGCCGTGCCGGTTGTAGGCAGTTGCAAGTGTGTGAACCATGCCTGCTTTCTTCTGCAGTAATACACTGCACAAGGAAACTTATTGTATGTTTCTATAGTTGCAACACAAGAATGCGGTGAGACTGGAGTATTCAAGTTCTAGTGCGGTGAATCACAGTTTGCTCTTCTATTTAGGCCTGCAAGAATGATGTCCTGGGAATAATAACAACATCAAGCTTATACAAACAAAAACACCTACCTGCTTCCAATCATACTTTGAAAAGACCTTGTTTTTTAAGGCATGGCCAATAAAAGAAAAAGCTGATGGCCATAGAGAATCTTCAGTCACAGAAATAACACTATATACTGCCACATATGTCAGGATAGACCATATCCCAAATTAACCATGCACAAAAGAGAATGCTGAGAATGTATGAACATACACTGCATGTGCTGGTGTCTGCAAGCGAATCTGTTCAAAGGTAAAAATCTAAAATAAATAGCACATTGCACACACATTCCTCGAAACCCTATTTTGGTTTTTTGCCTCGAATCCTTTATGCAGAGAAGGCAAGCGTGTGCAACATGTGTACCTACGTTTCCAGCATTCCCCTTGGTGCTTGGGTAATTAGCAAAAAGTCTATTGCTGAAGTTGTGTCAAATGTGTGTCCAAGCAACACACTGTGGTCGTTGCAGACATCGTGCTTGCAACGGATGCTGTCAAAGCTACAGCTCCTGATGCAAATTTCTGAAAGGGCCATTAGAGGCAAGCACACATGTCAAAACGTCGGTGAGGGGGGGGGGGGGGGCAACTTACCGGTGAAATTCCGCTGCCTCAAAGAATCATGACCACCTGTGACATCTTCGGGCGATAGTAGCTCCTGGGGTGCTATTAGAAAATAAGATGGATTGTTAGGTACAAATCTTCTAATACTCAGAATTTAAAAAATAACTATCAATTGAGTGCAGAACCCTCAGATGCATCTGCTATATAAATGCTTGTGCAGCAAGAGCACATTCGAAAAATGCGACCTCCTGCTGAAAATAACAATGTATGTATGCTTTACATGCAGCATTTCTTTGCAGAGCTGGTGGTTGCATATTATCACTGTTCTCGAACTTCCACTTCTATGGTGCACAACCATGTGTTCTATGTTGAAATAGAACACAGGGCTCTCAAACCAATAAGTGTTTTCACGACAATGTCATACCTACAAGTGTTCATTCTGTTGTTTGTTTGTTTTTTCCTGTTTTTATCTCTTGAGACATATGATAGTTATCTCTTCGCTGTTTTTGTAGCTCGCTTTGTCAAGAAGATGAAAAAGAATACCTTGTCAAGCAAACAACTGTTGGCTTTTTGTCTGCCTCCCAGCATTTGTACTTGTACAGGTGCAAATAAAATGATTAATTGATTGATTGAACTAACACAAAATGGAAGTGCAACAATCTAATTCATTCCCTATAATCAAACAACAGAATTCACGTTTGAAAACAATACAGGTGCCTTCACTAAGGAAAGAAAAAGGTAAAATGTAGGCTTCAAAAAGCAAACATATTGTAGCCAATGGCGTCATGTCACTTGACACTCAGCAGACTACTTCCCGCTGCATATGCTTAGCTGTTGGCATAGGCACATAGCCCCCTGCTTCTCTCATTCACCGTCCTCTCCCCCTCCCTCTTTGTGTCACACCCTCATGGAGCTTTGGGAAGCAACTTGAAGCCAATATATATTTTGTTGCAAGTTAAAAGCCTGGGTCATCTGTATTATATTTTATGTCCCTCTTTTCTTGCCCAGTTTTCTCGCTAGACTGGCCAGGCAACAATCAAATGCAGGCGCACTTACTGCTCCCTCTCTTAAATCTAGGCTCTCTCCGTCATCTCCGCCGGCATGTTGTCGTTAGCGCTCCGAACGCCTCTATCGGCATGCCACAACGGCTTCTCCGCGTGCAATGCGGTAAAGCTGCTTCCCAGATAAGGAGCGGAGAGCAGACGACAGCCTTTCCCGCATCTTCTACTGCCTGTTTTGGGTGCCTTCTTGGTCGTGACAGTAAGGTGCGGCGGTCTGAGACTTAGGGCCAGTTGCACCAATGCAGCTTAACGCAAATCAGAGATTAGCAGGGAACCTAAGCCGAGTTTTGGTTTTGTTCTGTTGCACCAAAATCACTTATCGCTAAACCTAGCACTAAACCATGCCTATCGTGAGCGCTCAACATCGGGTACTTTACTTGGTCGTTTCTTAATCCTGGATTTAAAACATGCCGGCTGGTTTGTGGCGGTCTACACGGTGGACGAAATTGGTTGTACAAAGTGTTTTAGGCTACAGCAGCGTGAGAGCCTCAACAGAATGACCTTCGATTGCGACAGATGCAAAATATTATGTGAAGTGTTTATCGACCCGTTTTCAAGTTGACTTTCCAGTCTCAGTGTGTGTTAGCCCTAACCAGGGAAGGTATGCAGATGTGGGGCTCACGCACGGCTCACGTCCATCTTCCCATTGGTTTTTATTTCAGCGTGCTTATTCGTATGCAGTTATTTGCGCATATCTGTAACGTATTGCTATTTACAACCTTGTTTATCTTAGAGCGCAGCTCTTAGGCACCCGTTTCCGGCTTGAGTGGAGTCGGCGTAACCGCACGGTGCATTATGGAACACTACCCATGATGCAATGCGCAGGGAGGAGGATGAGGGGGAGGGAAGGAAGGAGGAGGAGGGGGAAGAGAAGGAAGGAGGGGAGGAGAGGAGCTTGAAGGATGAGGTGAGGGGGAGGTGAAGGAAGATGAGGAGGAGGGGAGGCGTAGCAGGGAGGATGAGTGGGTGAGGAGGAGCAGGGAGAGGGGGTATACCCTCCCCTCAGTACCCTTCCCTCATCTTCTTTAAGAGCTGTGCTCTAATTCGGCGTTACAGGGTGTTGTAAACGTCAGATTTTTACTTTCAACGCATTTCCTTTTTTCCAATCAGCGCGTTGAATAGCGGCAGTGCACGATCTCGGCGATCAGCCGATTGTAGCCCCATTCTTCCGTTGTCATTAAATTGCGGTGAACAACGCATTTAGACAATAATGCAACGAAAAGGCTATTTTTTTTTTTTTTTTTTTTAGTGTTAGGACAATTTTTAAGAGAAGTTTCTTTGTCTCCCGAGTAAAATCTTAGCTTCGGAAAACTGTGTCGTTCTACAGTCGAAACTTATCTGGTGACCGCACTTTGTAGCGGCGACAAGAAATCATAACGACTAAGATGCGAGATTTGCTCAGCACTGTATTAGGGCAGGCTGTGGCGGGTGGTGCGAAGAGATGACTGTTCTCATAGACACAATGTGATGACCTAGTGTGAGTTTTCATACTTCAAAGACCGCCACCGCCTTACGTTCAACTAGGGAGACAGGCAGTGTACTGTGCCACAGCTCACACGCCATGCCCCTCTGGGTACAGATGTTACAACATGTTCTGCAGTACCGTAGAAGCTAATAATCGTTCAGTAATTGTATTTGCACTTCGATATATTTAAATTGTTGTCAAAATTGAATACAATATTTACTTTTATTTTTGGGGTGCACTTTGTTGCAATGCACATAAGTTGTGTTGTGAAGTAGGCATCATGAAAATACCCAGTATTTCTGTTTTCTGGCTGCACTTGGAAATTTTTTATACAAATATGTATGGTTAAATTATCCTTGGCAAGCAACTGGACCCCAGCCCTAGACTCAAGCCTTGCTTATTCCAGCATCTGCTCATCTATTTTCTTAAGGAAATAATTCAGGTACTAACAAAAACATGAAATGGTTATGAAGGCTGATCGGGAATCTGAATGGTTTATTTTGGAAAATTACGTAGGTCATAAATGACCTAAGCTTAATGTGATAATCCTAGTGTTGGTTTTCATGATTGAGATCTGAGGCAGAGCAGGTGAAATAGAAAAGAAACTTTGTACAATGTCTAGGTCTAAGGCACAGCTTGTATTTGTTTGCTAAAAGACAGAACTAACAGACACTTAGAAAAACCCTCAACACCTAGGCATAGAAATTAGAACAGCATAATAGAACCAGAGGAATGAAATGCACGACTGCCACAGAAAGATGGAACTTTACCAATCTGGGGAAACTTTACGTAACACTGACTATTTAAAATAAGTGAGAAACCAGACCGTAATGCAGCTTGCTTTTTGAACTAACCTAAAATTAACTATCTTCAATTTTATGAGCTAACAAAATAATGACTGATGCAGCACAAAGAAAGTCAGAAGGTCAAGTTACAAGGTTACATGTAAAGACCCCAAGTTAGCAGTCATGCTGCATATGGTAAGTTTTCTTTCTGCAGTGGAGACACAAACAGTCTAATTCCATAGCTGACTGATTCATCACTCTCTGAAGGCTAACAACCCATTTAATTTTGACTTTTATGACCATAATAAGGTCAAAGTAGGAAAGTTTTAACCTACACAAAAATATACCAGGTGTTTCTTTCAAAACTTAACAGATTTGTTTAAAAAGCCGTGAAAGTTACACTTATGCGGTTTGTGCAGATGAGTTATACAGCCAGGGGGATAGAGTATTGGGGCTAATTGTAACGATCAGTCAGCTAATTATTTAAAATTCGTTAATTAACTTTTTAAATAATTAAAAATCGACACATAGTTCCAATTAGAAACTTGCTAAGCGCCATTGAAAACCACTAAATCAACTCTTTTTAGAACATAAAGCATGGGCAGCATTTTACGTCGTTCTAATGAAGCGCTCAATTTGGATGTGTTTCTAGGTTTCGCTTACTTATCCGAGCACATCTCTGCGCCCGCAATCCTGTCCCCTCCCCCTCCCCTCCCTCCTCCTCCTCCTCCTCCTTCTCCTCCTCCTCCTCCTCCTCCTCCTCCTCCTCCTCCTCCTCCTCCTCCTCCTCCTCCTCCCCGGTAGTCGCGGCACAAAGCCACTCCCTCGCTTACCTTGTAGCATAGAGGGAAGTTGGGCGCAACTGTGTTGCACGTCTCAGCCACTGTCGAGCAGGACCGTGGGAGCAGAGATGCACTGCAATAACAAATCGAAACCTAGAAACGCGTCCACATTGAGCGTTTTCATGGAACGCTGTAATATACAGCCCCTGCGTTATATCTTTCGAAAAAGAGTTGATATAGTGGCCTTAGGTGACGCTGAACAAGTTTCTAATTGGAACCACATGTCTATTTTCATTTATTAAAAAGTTAATTAACGAATTTTACTTAATTAGCCAACTGATCGTTACAATTAGCCCCAATACTCTATCCCCCTGGCTGTATAACTCATCTGCACAAACCGCATAAGTGTAACTTTCACGGCTTTTTAAACAAATCTGTTAAGTTTTGAAAGAAACACCTGGTATATCTTTGTGTAGGTTAAAACTTTCCTACTTTGACCTTATTATGGTCATAAAAGTCAAAATTAAATGGGTTGTTAGCCTTCAGAGAGTGATGAATTCAATTAAGGTTAGCTTTGATGCTCAAATCGCCAGGTTAAAGTCAACAGGATATCCTAGTGCATTACTTACAGCCGTGGCAGAGGATTTATTAAAGAGAATAAGATGGGGTGAACAACCTAAACGCAATACAGAAAAGAAAAGGACGGCCGTTGTTCCATATATACATAAAGTTTCGCACGGTCTAAAAAAGATAGGTAACTGCATTAACATTAATGTTGCTTTTTCAGCACCAAATAAGCTTCTAAGCCTGTGCCGGAAGGTAAACGGATCGGCACACCGGGAAGTTGGTAGTTCGAAAAACCACCAAAAGAGCTTTGTAAATTGTACTGAAGGAGTTGTATATTTTGTCCCACTCTCATGTGTTAGAGAGTATGTAGGCCAGACTGGAACGTGTTTGAATGATCGTTTAAGAGAGCATTTTTATAACACCCACCGAGTCGTAGCTGGACACTTGGGAATCCATTGTCGCGATTGTGGCTGTATAGCACATTTTGAAAATTGTTCTGTAATAGGTAGGAGTAGAGACGCATTGACTAGAGAAATAATGGAAGCGGAAAGGATAGCACAGCTGAAGGACAAGTGTGTAAGTAGTCCTTCTATAGCGCTGTCGACCAAAGAGCAGCAATTTCTATCTAAATGATAGCGATGAGGGAGAGGGACGATTTGTAAATGTGTTTCGTATAGATATTTCTTCCGTTTCTTTATTTGTCTTCTCTTTTACTGTTCTTTTGCCTTCTCTTTAGAATTTTCCTTTGTATTTCGTGCTACTTCTTCTACTTATCAAGTTCTGAAAAGTCAACCCAGACGCTGAAGAGAAAAATGAAGCAGTCGAATACACAAGAGTTGTAAGTTCAGCGCGTGTGCTTGTCTTCCTGAGTGTCTGGTGTGAGTTCGATTTTTCCTGCGCTGTCACGTTCAAGTACACTAAGTCGGAAAGATTTAAAAAATTACATGCGCGGGACATAGATAACCTCTTGCGACGTAACTAGGCATACGTCAATAGCGCTCGCGTGTATTACAGAAAAATAAGCTTCAATGAAGGAGCCCCCAGTCGTTCTGAGCTTCGTCAATTAAAAATGCTGTACCGGTCGTCTGGCTTCAGTATTCCTGCTTCGGGAATCTGGGATTCTCACCTCTGAGGAAAAGCAAACTGGGACCTGCTGGCTCTTAGGCCTTGGAAACTGCCAGAAAGATTTGCGATTAGTTGCGTCCAAGTACCAATTTCTTTGACCAGCCACCTACAGCACACTAAGCCGGATAAAATCAAAATTACATGTGCGTGACATAATATGCCTCTTGTGACAAAACTTGGCACATGTTTTGTCGCCTACAGCAACACTGAAGCCAGACAGACAAGCGATACGGCATATTTAATTGACGGAGCTCAGAACGACTGGGGACGCTTTCACTGAAGCTTGTTTTGCTGCAATACAAGCGTGTATTGCAGCAAAACAAGCTTCAGTGAAAGCGTCCCCAGTCGTTCTGGGCTCCGTCAATTAAATATGCCGTACCGCTTGTCTGGCTTCAGTATTGCTGCTTCAGAGCAATCCAGAAAATCTAGAATCCTCACCTTTGAACAAGAATGAACTGGCGCCTGCAGGCTTGTGGGCCGTGGAAACTGCAAGAGATTTGCGATTAGTTACGTTTAAGTAACAATTTTTTTGAGTAGCCAACTACAGCACACTCAAAATTATATGCACTGGACATAGATGCCTCATGCGACGAACTTCCTTCATCCTTGTTTTCTGTTAACTCTGCCCACCTTCACCACCCGCCTCCAATTTCTGTGCTACTTTTTAAATCTCGATTCCCTGGTTCCCAAAGGCCATGCCATGGCTTGTGCCAGTCACGGGTCTGTCAGCTTTGCAACCGGCGCCACTGTGGCAAAGACGCCAAAGCACCTGGCACTTATGTGCTCTTTTAATATTTTGAGCATGGCTCAAAACAGGTGTATGGGTGTCTGGTATGCCCTTTGCTTATTTGCGGATCGTTTCGAATCAGAGGGTAGGCGCTTCTGCGATCTGAGCGCATGCTCGGTTTTTTACAATAGTTGAAATTGAACTCTGCAGGAATTTTCAATCATAACAAACAGAATGTGCATGCCAAAAGGCATAGCAAATGAAACATCCACCGTCTATCTATTTTCGGTTCTTGTCCGCAAGAAGCTGTCATATATGTAGCCTTCCTTGCTTAAGGGGAGACGCGGGTCTTAAAATGGTCAAAAAACGCGAAATTTCACGTTTTTCAAAATTCACTTATTTGGATTAATTGTAGTCTAAGGTACCTGCCTGCAAAGTTTCAATGTCGAATTCAATGTCTAAGCATGAAAAAAATGATATTTACGATGTCCCCGCAGAGCCCTGACACAGCGAGTTCAATGAAAACAAGTGGAACTTCGCGCCCCGCGCGTTTCGCGATCGCTCGTCGGATCGCGGCCATCTTGGTCTTGTTGGAAAGCCGCTTATTTTCCCCACGTCCCCATGCCATTCGTTATCGCAACAACATCGGGGAACGTCCGCATTCCGCGGGTTTCGAAGGCCCCAATTGCGATCGCTCATTGGCCGGCTAGCAAGGTGCCCATACGTCAGAGCACGCGCGGCGCCTAGCGCCCCTGCTATCGGCCTAAACGCGCCCCTCCGCTCTTTTTCTTCTTTCCTCCTTTCCGTTCCCGCGCTGGCGAGAGGTGCGTCGTCTGCTCCTGGGCCCGTCTCCGCCCGTCTCCTTAGGCCTGTCTGCTTTGTTTCTTCCGTGGTCGAGCGCACGTTTTAGTTCCCGTTTGCGCGCTTGCGTTGAACATTGTTGGTTCGTTTTCCTACGAAGTCGCGCGTGTTTTGTTTTGTTTCGCTTCGAGTTCTCGAGATGCCGGACGACGCTCGGTTGAAATCGAGCGCGCGGCAAGCGTTCGGAAGGAAGAGGAAGCGACCGTGGAACAAAAAGTCGAAGCTGTGTGCTGCAAGTGCGCCACCGCGATCGGCACCGCCGGATGCCTTGGATCTTCCGGAAACATTAGCCGGAGACATCGCGACTCCATGCAGCAGCGGCAGTTTGTCGAGCTTTGCGAGCGCGGTTCGTGTCGACACCGCATACTACTCCACGGCCGAGCAGGCGCAACGAGTCGCACGATCGGACGAATGCAAGCGTGCGCTATCGGAAAAGTCGGCGACCCAGCGCAAATTCGACCTTCTCGGCGTCACCACAGGAGGCCAGACGCGCGACGCTGGGACACAGTTCATTGTAGTGGACATGAAAGCTCTCAAAGCATGGAGAAGGACAATCTGCGTTTGCGTAAGGCCAACACTGCCCACCAGAGCAGCAGCAATGCAAAGCAGAGGTTCTCCAGGCAACACCAAACTGGAACAGCTGGGGACTACAGTCCTGGACAGCTGTGAGGGGCTCCCCTTTCAAGTGCTACACGAACAAAGGCCCTTTTCAGGGCCAAACAAATCTGCTTTCGGAACGTGCAAGCCTTGGTGCCTCCTCCCGTTGTCCCTTATAGAGTCTACTCATTCTTTTATAACTTTATTTTACATTGCAGACATTATTTCTCAGTTTTATATTATTTTTTAAAGGTTCTTGTGAACGGATTGCAGAATTTTTCATCTCAATTTGTTCATATAGAACTATGCTTCATATTGCTGAACATTATTGCATGGGATCCCTTGCTCAATTTTATGCAATGAGTGTCAAAACTTCAACTGCAATTTTCTCAGCTTCGCATTTTTCGTCTACATGCCTAGCCTTACGGTTGTTTTCATGAGATTATTCTTCAAGGATTTCTATAAACTTTATACCGTTGAATTCAGAAAGAAGTGAACTGCAGGGTGATGCTATTTTTGTATGACAGTATGGGCCCGAAATTTTATTATTAGTGATAATGTGACCTCGTTAGGCTTTGTAAATAGTGTACTTGACCTAATTAGACTAGTTTTATACAATGATCTATCTTTACAAAAATATAGATAGCATCATCTTGCATGACAGGTCTTTAGCTACAAATCCATATCACTTATGCAAAAAAATTCGTATTAGAAAGTTCCTTAATGAGTCGTAAGCAATGACCTAATTAGGCTTCATTATTTTCTTCGTAACTCAAAAAGTAATTGAGATATTGCAGAACTAATTGAATATTTGAAAAGAGGAAGCCAAAACACATATACACACTGATTTTCATTATAATCCATTAATAAACAAAAAAGTCGATTTTAGAACCAGTGTCTTGCCTTAAGCCACTCATCCCTAATGTCCCGGTTGGGTCTCGTCCTGATGAATTGTCGGTGGAGACCTGAGGTGCAGTCAACATCAGATTAGACCTTTTGAGACAGAACCATATACTTGCTGGAAGGAAGTACACCCAAACGAATTTTAGACATGTCATTTATAGTGAGTTTTAAAATGAGAGGCCTGATGTAAAATGAGACGTCAATACTGATGCACCAATTTTGCGAACCTAAAATTTTGAAGGCCTTGTCCCCCTAAGGCACATGAATCCCGGCATGTGGATGAAATTTTTACCTTAAGATCCTGACTCAATGCCCATCCCCGAATATTTGACCACCACACTTTTAGAAAAAGA